CTCCTGTCTCACTTAGTCAGGGGCGAAAGCGCCTGACCATCTCCTCAAAACTTGGGAGAGAACTTACGATCAAGAGAAAAAGATGGAGGTCTTCCAAATTCCAAACGTCAAACGGTCCTCCCCGCGGCCTTCAGAAGGAAATGAGAAACCCTTTTCCAGATCCTCTGAAATAGGGGGACGGCGCCTGTACGGGGCCGTGCGTTTGGAGACATTTTCTTGTCAGTGCAAGACGTCCCGAGTGGCCAAAACTCGAGCGAAACGCGCGTTTTGTATGGGTCATGCACGTTTGCAGGTCCCGAAAACACTAGAAGCTCCCGCAAACTTTTCGTGAAAATGCAATTTTTGCGTGGCATTTTGTCGATTTTTGGGTATTTTTTGGTCCGGGGGGGCTTGCAAATTCAAATTTTCAAGATCTTTTTTGCTTGAAAATCGTGCTCTCGCCACAGCGCGGCTGCGTTTTGCACTGTAAGCATTTTGCGTTTTGGGAGGCTGTTTTCCCGGAGAGTCCATTTGGCAAAGGATAGCTTGAAAAAGAAAAGCTGCAAAATCGTGCTTTGGCCACAGCGTTTTGGGGGGCCAGAGTCATGTTGCAGGTTTGCGTAGCTTAGAGCCCGGTAGCGTTGTACAGAAGGCAAGGCCTTGAAGCTTCTAGGAAAATCATACTATTATGACACGCAAAAATTTGGTGACTGCCTGGATGCCTAAAAATAGGATCGTTTAGTATTGAGTGACTGTGAGAGTACAGTTCTAGAACTGTTCGGTAAAAGCCCGTCGTCGCAGGAGCCCGCTGCAGGATCAGCAGCGCAAATAAAGTCAGCGCCGGCCAGCCAGCCAGCCGGACATCGCCGCAATGTAGGCTTGGGCCAGCAAGTCTGCGCAAAGCGGCCCCCCCCAACCCACCCCCCCCCCCACCCACCCCGGTCTGAAATGTGCTTAAACGCACGGCCCCGTACGGGCGCCGTCTCCTGAAACAAGCACTCCAAGTTACTCTAGTTACTCTTGGTAAGAGAAGAGAGTTTCTTTCTAGCGAGCTCCTTTACCT